CAGAGAGAAAGGCAGAGACAAATAAATAAATAAATCTTCATTAAAAAAAAAAAAAGCCTAAAGGGGCCGGCACCGCGGCTCACTAGGCTAATCCTCTGCATTGTGGCACCGGCACACCGGGTTCTAGTCCCGGTCGGGGTGCCGGATTCTTTCCCGGTTGCCCCCCTTCCAGGCCAGCCCTCTGCTGTGGCCAGGGAGTGCAGTGGAGGATGGCCCAGGTGCTTGGGCCCTGCACCCCATGGGAGACCAGGAAAAGCACCTGGCTCCTGGCTCCAGCTATCGGATCAGCGCGGTGCGCCGGCCGCAGCGCACCGGCCGCAGCGCACCAGCCGTGGCGGCCATTGGAGGGTGAACCAACGGCAAAGGAAGACCTTTCTCTCTCTCTCTCTCAGTGTCCACTCTGCCTGTCAAAAAAAAAAAAAACCCTAAAATATTTATTATTTGGCACTTTACAGAAAAATGGGCTGTCCTGTGCTGTCCCTGTATTGGAAGGAAAAAAGAAACGACCAACCTCTTCATCCATTCATCCATTCAAAATATAAAGATCAGGCTTCTTTCCTTTAGGGATGAGAGATCTTAAAAAATTCATTGAAAATGTACATTTTTTTACAAAATTATTATTTGAAAGGCAGAGAGAGAGAGAGAGAGAGAGCAAGCTTCTATTCGCTGCTTCATTCCCCAAATGCCCGCAGCTGGGGTTGAGCAGGAGTCAGAAGACAAGAACTCAACTCAGGTCTCCATACAGGTGGCAGAGACTCAACTACTTGAGCCTAAAGATGCTGCCCCCAGGATGCACATCGGCAGGAAGCTGGAATTGGAAACAGAGCTGAGACTCAAACTCAGGCACTCTGATGAGGGATGTGGGTGTCCCAAGAAGTTTCCTCCTCCTCCTCTTCCTCTTCTAAAGATTATTTATTTGAGAAGCAGAGTTACAGAGGGATGGAGGGAGAGAGAGAGAGAGAGAGAGAGAGAGAGAATCTTCCATCCCCTGGTTCACTCCCCAAATGGTTGCAAGGGCCGGAGTTGGGCTGATCTGAAGCCAGGATCCTGGAGCTTCTTCCAGGTCTTCCATGTGGGTACAGGGGCCCGAGCACTTGGGCCACCCTCCATTGCCTTTCTAGGCCGTCAGGCAGAGGCCTAACCTGCTCTGCCACAGTGCTGGCCTCCCAAGAAGTATCTTAATTGCTACACCCAATGCCTACCCTGAAACCTGTTTTTAGTTACATCTCTGGCCCCCAGTTCCTGCCTTTAAGCTGAATTTCCCACAGGGACATTTGTGGACAATCCTCCATGCCACTGAGCTATGGGTAGAGAATAAACTTTATTTTTTCCTCTGTGGTTGAACATAATTCTGTAATTTCCCAGAAAACCTAAGGCCTCCGTATCATGTTAGCTGCCCTTTGATGCCACTTATTCTCTAACAAGGTAGAATGATGTGGGCCAGGTTCCGGAAGACTTGACCATCAAAAGTCACGAATGTGGAATCTAGGGAGACAGATGGACTAGGTCTAATGCAAGGATCCACCAGGGGACTGGTGCTGGGACACAGTAAGTTAAGCTGCTGCTTGGTAACCCCCATATCCCATACCAGAGTTCCAGTTCAAGTCCTGGCTGCTTTTCTTCAGATCCAGCTTCCTGCTAGTGCTCCTGGGAAGGCAGCACAAGATGGTCCAAGTACCTGGGTCCCTGCCACCCATATGGGAGACTAGGATGGAGTTCCTGGCTTTGGCCTAGCTCAGACCTGGCTGTTGTAGCCATTTGGGGAGTGAAGCAATGGATGGAAGATACCTCTCCTCCCTGCCCCCATACCGTTGCTCTGCCTTTCAAATAAACAAATCAATCTTTTTCTTGGTGTATTTTTTTTTTTAGTTTCAAAATTTATTTTTTAAAAAATATTTATTTGAAAGATGGAGTTACACACAGAGACGGAGAAAGAGAGAAACAGATCTCCATCCGTTGCTTCACTCCCTGAATGGCCACCATGGCCAGGGCTGGGTCAGGCTAAAACCAGGAGCCTGTAACTCCACCCAGGTATCCCACATGGTTGGCAGGTGCCCAAGAACTTGGATCACCTTCTGCTGCATTCCTAGACATTAGCAGGGGCTGGACTGGAAATGGAGCTACTGGGACTGAACCAGCACCCATATGGGATGGTGACATTGCAGGCAGCAGCATAACACTATGTCATAACATTGGCCCCCAAATTTAGGAATATTTAACATTTTGCCACCCACGTGGGAGATCAGGATGGAGTTTCTGGCTCCTGGCTTCAGCCTGGGCCAGCCCTGGCTGTTGTGGTCATCTGGGAAGTGAATCAGCAGATGGAAGCTCTCTCTCTTTCTGTCTTCCTTTGTATCTCTCTCTGTTGCTCTGCCTTTCAAATAAATAATACATTCCAAAAGAAAAAAAAAAAAGGATGCATCCACATCTAGAGACTTGGTGGGGGCAGAGCTGATGATTTCCTAGAGATGCTGATGAAGGAATTTGTAACATTAAAAGAATGTAGCCATATGGTATCCAGCCTGTACTGTGTGATTAACACAGCAGTAAAACCACAGAATTTCAGCAGGGTTCTTTTCGTATGCCTCACAGACAGCTCAACCCATGCTTGTTCTAACCGGTTGGCTGGGTGACCGGGCTGGTTCTGGGTCTCCTCTGGGCCTTTGCGTGTGCTCATGTCTCTGTTTGAATCTCCTTTCCCTCGTCCTTTGCCCCAGTTAACTCCTATCCCTACTTCTTGGTTCTGCATGCCCCATGTGTCTGGGGTGCGTTCCTCTCCAAAACGCTGCCACCAGCACTGTGTCTTCTCCATCAGCATCCTTAGCTTGGCTTCTGTTGACTTTGTCCTTCCGACCAGGCTATAAGTCTCAGGAAGGCAGGGACTGGCTTCGTCTCGTTCACTGTCCCACGGACAGAGCACGTCCCAGTGCTTAATAAAGGAAGCGCTCAACGGATATTTGCAACAACAGATTAAGTAAGTGTGTGCCTGTTTCAGGGCTCTTTGCGTCTCAGACACACTGGGGAAACTGAGGCAGCATGACAGACTCTGTAGAGGCAGGGCCGGCAATGGAATTGAGATCATCTGATGCCAGGAGTGTGATTCGTTCATTCTCCTTGACTACTTCTTAAATAACTTAATTCCTCCCCAGCTGAGTTCCTACGACTTCTTCTTTCCCTTCTTGTCATCGCTGCAAAGGTTAAGACTGTTTCAGGGAATTATAACACTGGGATCTCGGAGCAGAGGCAAATTTATCTAACTCAGGGTAAGAGAAATGTGTGCCTTTGGACCTTGGATTTAAATGAGCCAGCAAATCCCTGCTAATTCTCTTCCTTCGCTGGGTCCCGTCGGATTCACATTCAGCAAGGAGAAAGTCAGCCTGTGTCACCCGTGATTTATGCCCTGCTGCTTGCTCTCTTCCCCTAGCACATTAAACACCCTGAACGGAGAGGGAAGAAGAGGTAGTCTCAGGATGTCTGGCTGCCAGACGGGTGTCTGGGGGCGCGGGACGGGCTGGCGGGGCTGGAGGGGGCGGCAGGAGTGCTCTGCTGTGTTGGGAAACAGCAGGAGCTTGAAAAGTTAAAAAAAAAATAAAAAAGACCTATGGGGCTTCCGCAGGAGAGGAACAAGGGAGTCTCTGTTTGCCTGGACTGCTGCAAAAACACAATTGGCCTCTGAGCCCAGAGACCTGGTGCTTGTTTCACTCATTTACTAAGTACCTTCAAGGCAGACGACCCTCCGCCCGGGCCTCAGTTTCCCTGGCTGCCAAGGAAGCGGTTGGATGATCTGAGCTCCCTCCAGCCTGTATCTGGAGCTAACTGTGCAGCCACCTTGCTTGGGGTGGGGGTGGGGAGGAGGGGAGGAGAATGGAGAGAGAGAGAGAAAGAGAGAGAGAGACAGAGAGAGAGAGAGAGAGAGAGGCCATGTAGGGCCGAGGTGAACCATGTACTACTATTTCCTTAGTAGTTAACCAGGCAACTTAGCTGTTAACCATGCAAACTCTGGTCACCTAGGTGGGTTCAGACTGCAGCTCCACCTCCCACTGGCTCTGTGGCCCTGGGCAGGTCCCTCACTTCTGAGTAGTATAGAGTTCATGGCCAAGACCTCCTTCATTGAGTCACAGACAACAAGCGCCGGGCCTCTGCAGGGGTCATGGCACTGAGCCAGGGCTCAGCAAGAGGCAGCTCTGTGGAACCTGTGTCCCTTGCGGGGGGGGGGGTGTCCCCAGATGTGGGCTTCAGGTCTCCCTACCGGATTCCCTGCCTGGATCCTGTGTGGTGGGGGCAGGGCATCCTGGTGAACACTTGGAAGTTCTGGACAGAAGGGATGAGGAGCTATTTTCGGTGGGTTCTGGTTCTATTTGTAGCTGCTGAGTTGGCCCAGGCTGCAGAGAAGCTCTGGGCAGAGCAAGCTGGGTGCTGCTGTGTTGTCTTAGATAGGGGACGAACGGGAAGGAGAGAGGGGACGTGGAGAGAGAAGATGGGAAGCCGCCCCACCCCCAACACACACACACACACACAGCAGCCCCCTCCTTCCCTCCTCTGCCTTTCCTGGGGAATTTAGAGGGGATGCTTGATATTTTATTATTATTATTAATTATTATTATTTTACTAATACTTTATATATATATAAGGTGGACAAATTTGATGCATTTCATACATACAGATTTAGTAGCATAACGATACTTCCCACCCTACCCTCCTTCCCTCCCTCCCACCCACGCTTCCACTCTCCCTGCGGGATGCTTGACCTTTTAAAGGTGGATTTAGTTAGTAACATGAAGCGATCCATCAATCCTGTTAACACAGCGTTCTCACCCCCGACAGCATTGATTTTTTTCCCGGCTGAAGTGGGGATTCACGTCCCCAGCGGAATTGCAGAGTGCTTGTTAAGGTGCGTGGTGGCTAAACCACCAAACACCCTCAGCCATTTTTCAAAGCTCTCCTTTCCCACTGAACCCAGGGGCACACGACGGGCACTTCCTCCCCTCGTCCCCACCTACCCACAAGTTGCTTAATTCCAGAGAACCTCAGTTTCCCCGTTTATGACCTGGGGATGGGGTTTGCCAGGGAGCATAATCTGGAGCTCTGGAGTTCTTCCTAGCTGCAATTCCGGGATCCTGTGTTGCAATCATCAAAGGAGGCGAGGCTGATCCTTTAATCAGGGGATGGTGGCTAGGACGGATGGGGAGGCGTGAGAGATGGAGGTTTACATCCTATCCTACCCAGTAATTTTCTGAATGGGTAAACTGAGGCCCTGAGGGTGGGGTCGGATCAGGCGGTGACTAAGCCAGTGGCTCCGCTGGGTCACTGACCCGGGTCTCTCATCTCGCCTTGCAGCAGGCCGTCCCTGGGAGAGTGATGGGAAGCATGGCTGCCACCATGCAGGGTTAGTGCATTCACCCACCATCATCTGCTTTCCAGTTGAAGGTCACCTGACTCATAGGGAGGGAGGGGGAGTCTGCCTGATTCCAAAGCTTGCTCACCTGGAGTGTCTCCCTAGGGCTCAAACTCTGGTCTTGTGGGTACCATCCTCATCGATTTTTGATATAATTTGCTTTATACTAATATTTACTTTTTCTATTTTTCTTTAAATCAATGCATTGTTTTATGTAAATAAATTTAGCTTCATGCTAAGCAAAGATGTCTGTGATATTGACTTTGATCTCTTATTTGTAGTTTTCTTTCCTTTTTAAAGATTTATGTTATTATTTGAAAGGCAGAGTTACAAAGAGAGAGGGATAGATACTCCCAAATGGCTGCAGTGGCCAGGCGTGGGCTAGGCCGAAGTCGGGAGCCTGGAACTCCATCTGAGTCTCCCACATGGGTGCAGGGGCCCAAGTACTTGGGCCATCATCCACTACTTTCCCAGGTGCATTAGCAGAGAACTGGATCAGAAGTGGAGTAGCAGGGATTTGAACTGCAGAAGCAAAGCAACCAGGACTCTGACCAGCACTCAAGTGGGATGCTGGCACCTCAGGCAGTGGCCTAACCTGCCGCACTAGTTTTCTAATTATATATACTACACATCATTATTTAACTACTTATAATGAATATATATGCTTAACAATTTAAAAAATCCATGTACTGACTACAAATGTCTTTGCTGTTGAAAAACTCCAACAAATATACCAGTGGTTCTCAAACTTTTCAGTTTGTTAAAAATCATTAAGGACCTTAAAGAGCTTTTACTTACGTGAGTTATAGCAATAGATATTTACTTCAGTCAGAATTAAAACTGAGAAAATATAAATTCGTTTATTTATGTTTAAAGATTTATTTATTTATTTGAAAGGCAGAGCTACAGAGAGGCAGAGAGAGAGAGAGAGAGAGAGAGAGAGAGGTCTTCCATCTGATGGTTCACTCCCAACTGGCTGCAATGGCTCGAGCTGCAGTGATCCGAAGCCAGGAGCCAGGAGCTTCTTCCGGGTCTCCCACGTGGATGCAGGGGCCCAAGCACTTGGGCCATCTTCTACTGCTTTCCCAGGCTGTAGCAGAGAGCCAGATCAGAAGTAGAGCAGCCAGGACTCGAACTGGTACCCATATGGGATGCTGGCACTGTAGGCGGAGGCTTTACCTGCTATGCCACAGCACCGGCCCCCAATTCATTCATTTATAAAGTACTCTCTTGGGGCAAGTATTTGGTGCTGTGGGTAAGATGCCACTTAGAATGTCTACATCCCATATTGGAGTCACTGACTTCAAGTCTCAGTTCTGCTTCTGATCCAGCTTCCTGCTGCCACACACCCAGGGAGGTGTGGGGGACTCATGTAATTGGGTCTCTGTAACTCATGTTGGAGACCAGGATTGATTTCCAGGTTTCTGGTTTTGGCCTGGTAGAGTGAGGGCTTTAAATTCAGTCCAAAGCACCCAAGGATCAGGCCCACTGGTTTGGGTTTCCAACACAGTACCTCAAAGAATCCTATGCATCTCTCTGAGATAAGCAAGGTAGTAATTATGGCCATATAGATCAATGAGGAAGCTGGGGCATAGAAAAAGAAACTGAGGAACAAATATTTGGAGATTCAAATTTAGGGAGCAGCATTTGTGCCACATTGTGTTAAACTCCTACTTCCACTGCTACCAGCATCCCATAGGAGCACTGGTTGGAGTCCTGGTTGCCCTACTTCTGAACCAACTTCCTGCTAATGTGCCTGGGAAGGCCCCTGCTGCCTACATGGAAATCCAAATGGAGATCCAGGCTTGTGGCTTCATCCTGGGCTAACCCTGGCTATTGCAGCCATTTGAGATATAAACCACTGGATAGAAGAACTCTCCCTCTGTCACTCCCTCTCTGCCACTCTTCCTGTCAAATAAAGACATATTTTTTAAATATTTATTTATTAGATTTATTTTTATTTATCTGACATGCAGAGTTACAAAGAGAGGGAGAGACAGAGACAGAGAGAGGTCTTGTATCTGCTGGTTCACTCCCCAATAGCTGCAACAGCCAGAGATGAGCCCATCTGAAGCCAGAACCTAGGAGCTTCATCCAGGTCTCCCCTTGGGTGCAGGGCCCCAAGCATTTGAGCCATCTTCCACTGCTTTCTCAGGCACATTAAAAGGGAGCTGGAGGAGCTGATGTTGTGGTGTAGTGGGTTAAGCTGCCACCTGCAGTGCCAGCATCACATAGGGGTGCCGGTTCAAGACCTGGCTGCTCCATTTCTGATCCAGCACTCTGCTATGGCCTGGGAAAGCAGTAGAGGATGGCCTGAGTTCTTGGGCCCCTGCACCCGCGTGAGAGACCCCGAAGTTCCTGGCTCCTGGCTTCTGATCGGTGCAGCTCTGGCTTTTGCGGCCAATTGGGGAGAGAACCAGTGGATGGAAGACCTCTCTCTCTCTCTCTCTCTGCCTCTCTTTCTCTCTCTGTGTAACTCTGACTTTCAAATAAAATAAATATATTTTTTTAAAAAAAGAAGGGAGCTGGATCTGAAGTGGAACTGCTGGGACTCAAACCAGCATTCATATGGGTTGTTGGCACCATAGGCTGAAGCTTGAACTAGGCATTCCAATATATGGGATGTGATAGTCCCAAGCTGTGGTTTAACCTGCTGTAACACAGCGCCTGCTCCATATATACTTTCTATTTCTCCTCTCATTCCATAAAGGTTTTATTTATTTATTTATAGATTTTTTTTTTAATTTTATTTGAAAGGCAAAGTGATGGAGTTCCATCCATTGGTTCACTCCCCAAGTAGCTGCAATGATTGGAACTAAGTCAGGCTGAAGCCTGGAGCCTGGAACTCCATATGGGTCTCCTGCATGGTTAGCAGGGGCCCAAGCTTTCCCAGGTGTATTAGCAAGGAGCTGGAATGGAAGCAGAGCAGCCGGGTCTCAAACCCATGTTCTGATATGGGATGCCAGTGTCGCAGGCAGTGGAATAATCTGTTGTGCCACAATGCTGGCCTCTGTTTATTTTTAAAAATATTTATTGTATGAGGCCAGTGCTGTGACGTAGTGGGTAAAGCCATCACCTATAGTGTCAGCATCCCATATGGATGCCGGTTCAAGTCCCAGCTGCTCCACTTCCGATCCAGCTCTCAGCTATGACCTGGGAAAGCAGTGGAAGATGGCCCAAGTGCTTGGGACCCTGCACCTATGTGACAGACCCAGAGGAAGCTCCTGGCTCCTGAATTCAGGTTGGCTCAACTCCAGCTGTTGTGGCCATTTGGGGAGTGAATCAGCAGATGGAAGACCTCTTTCTCTGCCTCTCTGTAAGTCTGCCTTTCAAATAAATAAATAAATCTTGAAAAGCTTATTTTATTGTATTTAATCAATTTGCAGTCTTGTCTCTCTCTCTACTTTGAGATGTGTTTATTTCTTTGAAGGGTAGACTGACAGAGAGGGAGAGGGAGAGACACAGAGATATCTTCCATCCGCTGCTTCACTCCACAACAGCCAGGGCTGAACCAGGCTGAAGCCATGAGTCAGGAATACCGAATAGGTATCCCACGTGGGTGAGAGGGGTGCATGCACATGGGCCATCCTCCACGGCCTTTTAGGTGCCTTGGTAGGAAGCTGAATCAGAAGCAGAGCAGCAGGGCTCAGACTGACACGTGGGATGCAAGCAGCAGCTTGACCAGCTGTGCCACGATGTCAGTCTTCCCCCAAGGCTTTAGTCCTGTAATAGAATGGGAAAGTCAGAACAGTGACATGCCAAGGTGCAAAGTTGAGGTGGGTGTAGACTTTAAAAGCCAATAAGAGGCCACCATTGAATTCCAGATTTAGCCCTGACCTTTTTGGAAGTCAAGGTGAAGAGAGTGACAAAATCAGCTGGATAAAACTAGTCATCTGTGGCGCAGAGGGTTAACGCCCTGGCCTGAAGCGCCAGCATCCCATGTGGGCCCTAGTTTGAGACCCAGTTGCTCTACTTCTGATCCAGCTCTCTGCTATGGCCTGGGAAGGCAGTAAAAGATGACCCAAATTCCTTGGGCCCCTGCACCTACATGGGAGACCCGGAAGAAGCCCCTGGCTCCTGGCTCCTTGCTTCTGATCAGCACAGCTCCGGCCATTTGGGGAGTGAACCATCGGATGGAAGACCTCTCTCTCTGTGTCTCTGTCTCTCTGCCTCTCCTCTCTTTGTGTAACTCTGACTTGCAAATAAATAAATCTTTTAAAAAGATTTGAAAGGCAGAGTTACATAGAGAGAAGAGAGGCAGAGAGAGAGAGAGAGAGAGAGAGAGGTCTTCCAACCACTGGTTCACTCTCCAATTGGCTGCAACCGCGGGAGCTGTGCAGATCCAAAGCCAGGAGCCAGGAGCCAGGATCCAGGAGCTTCTTCCGGGCCTCCCACTTGAGTGCAGGGGCCCAAGCACTTGGGCCATCCTCTGCTACTTTCCCAGGTGCATTAGCAGGGAGCTGGGTTGGAAGTGGAACTGCTGGGACTCGAACCTTTGCCCATAGAGGATGCTGGGGTAGCAGGCGGCAACGCAGCGCCACAGCCCCGGCCTGATTTAATTTTATTCTGACTACAACTGCAGGTGAAGTGCACCACATTGTTCTATTTCACTGGTAAGTAGCCTGAGCTGGTATCTCCAGGCCAGGGCTAGGAAAAGACGCCTTGTAAAAGTCCGTAGGACCATCTCTGGTTTTCTTTCTCCTGATTCGTTCACGACCCTTCCTCGGCCTATTTCCCATCCGTCTAGCCGGGCCTTGTTACCAGCTTGAAACTCCGCTACCAGTCTCCCGCCGAGGGATTTCAGCGAGTGTGCAGCCCCGCCCAGGTGCGTGGGCGTGGCCTGTGCCGCCGGGCCCCGCCCCTTTCAGCCCGCATCGCCCCCCCTTCCCGACCGCCCGCTGAATGCCGAGCGTGCGCGCGCACCCCCGCTCGCGGCCCGGCTCGATGTCGGGAGCGCGCTCTGTGTGGCCGCTGCCGCCATGTTGTTGTGGTTGTGAGAAGGCGGCGGCAGCGGCGGCGGCGGCGGAGGAGCTGCCGGACTAGACGCTCCAGCGGCCCAGGCGCTGCCCGCCGTGGCCCCTGGCTGGGAGCCTCGTGGGGTGGCAGAGGAGGCCGTGCGGAGGCGGGCCTCGCCATGTCCTGCCGTCCGGTAAGAAGCCCACCCCTAGTCTCCTCGCCGGAGTGAGGAGGAACTGGAGGAGGGGCCGGTGTCGGCCCCGACGCGGCGGCTGTCACCCTCCGAGGAGGCGGCGGCCCGCAGGGGTCTGGCGTCCCGGGTGGGCCGCCCGCCACCACCCGGGGTGGGCGAGGCGGGTGGGAGCGCAGCGGCCCGGCTCGGCTCTGCCCGGACGCTGGGCGCGGAGGAGGCGGGGTCCCGGGCCGGGGCGGCCTTCCCAGACCTGGCGAGGACCAGCCGGTGGGTTAGGGTCTGTCCCCGCAGCGCGCTGGGGAGATAGCCGCAGACTGTCGGCAGTGGGTGTGTGTCCGCCGCCCCGGGCTGCGTCTGCGGGAGTCCGCCGTGGCGAGAGGCAGGAGGAGGTCGGGGGCCATTGGAATCCCGGGGCGAGCCGTGCGGGCCCGGGACTTGTGGGAAGGAGGAGTGGCCGCCTGGCTGGGCAGCAGGGCACCCTCCTGACCTGGCAGTGCGGCTGAGTGGGAAGGATTGGTTCGGGGGCGGTTGAGGGAGCTCCGGGAGCGCTGGTCCGACAGCTCCGCAAAGCATTACATTGTGCTTGGTGTATTGCATCTCCGCGGCCTTGCATAAATTGGTATTGTTGGTTGTACTTCGGACTAGAAAACTTATCTCCAAATGATGGGGTAGATTTTATGGTCACCTTAATAAACTCTTCTGATCATCCTACTTGTGAGTTTTGACTGTGTCGTGTAATGCATTATCGACCAGATCTTGACGCCTGTTAAATACTGATGTTCGGGTGCCTTCCTCAGATCTAGGCCTCGATTCTCCACTATTTGAGTATCTTGACGTTTGCTTTGTTGTCAGACGTCAGTTCTTTCATGAACAATGTTTGGCCCCTCTCAAAGTCCGCATACTTTTAGTTCAATTTTGTTTTCTCGGATGTGAATGGCGATGCCAGCCAGAGGCCTGGGTTGAATTACAGGTCATATTTTTCTGTAAAATGTTTGTGATTTGTCCATGGGGAGGTGAGGAAGACCTCCCCTTTTCACATGCAGGGTTGTTTCTGTTGGGCGGGAGACTCGATCCCTGGTTTTGTTAGGAAACCAAGTAAGGTGTGTTGGTGGCATGCAGAAAGTCTCTCCTAGGGCCTGAGACTTGGGTGGGTAGAAGAGCTTACAGAATGACGCTGTTTTTCAGTAAACCCAGTTGAGTATGTGATGTTAGACTGCATTTGGAGGTTCTAGAATTTTAGATTGGTTACCAAATGAAGTCCTCTTCCAGCTCTGATTACCTCCCTCACTTCGAGGTGACCCAGAGCAGTTCAGGTGGCCAGCACAGTGGAGCAGCCTCACCTGCAGTTACTGGCAGGCCATAGAAGAACCCGCGTTGCTCAGCTTATATGCCAGATTTCCTTGGTTCAGTGCAACCTACAGGGTACTATGGGCTGCCTATAATGCTGATTCCAGGGCCTCATTCAGGATCTAGTGAATTAAAATCTCTTAAGAATGGCACCTGGTGATCCACCCTTTCAAAACTGCATGAATGATTGCAGTGAATGATTGCAATTACCCTGGTATGTGAATTTCCATTAATTAAATGACTTCTGAGAATGCTTTTAATTGGGTATAGATCTTCAAGGATTTTAGTGGCAGTGGAGAAGGGGAAGCACGAGAAACCGAAAACTGCAAATTGAACGTCTTTTAAAATATAGTGGATGTATGTAGGGAAAACAGGTTTGTTGCCAAATGTTATTTGTGCACAAGTTGTTAGGAACACACTTGATAAAATTAGATGCTGCTTATCTGGAGTCATAGCCACAGATGTATTGAAGAATCCAGAGGAAAGAAGCTGAGGAAGAGAGGCAGTAGGTCTGCTGTTGGCTCCACTGCAATAGCCAAAGGCCATGTCTGTTTTTGTTCCCCGCTGTCCCCAGTACCCAGCAGCACAGTTCTCAGCAGAGCCTGTGCTCTTGGACTTTTTTTTTTTTTTTAAGATTTATTTATTTATTTGAGAGGCAGAGTTACAGACAGAGAGGGAGAGACAGACAGGGAGAGGTCTTCCATCCGCTGGTTCACTCCAAATGCCCACAGTGGGTGGAGCTGGGCCGATCCAAAGCCAGGAATCAGGAGCTTCGTCTGGGTCTCCAGTTAGGTTCAGGGACACAAGCACTTGGGCTGTCTTCAACTGCTATTACAGACCATCATCAGCAGGGAGCTGGATCAGAAGTGGGGCAGCCAGGACTTGACTCTGGGTCTGTATGGGATGCAGGCACCACAGGCAGAGGCTTAACTTACTACACCACACTGCCGAGAACCTCAGATATTTTTTGAGTAAATGAATAGTGTTGATACAGAAAAAGGAAGTTATAATGGTTGACAGCAGTGCTATTAAAAACTGTTGATATCTTGCATTGGATTAAAGAGTGCTTCTTCCCAACATCCCAACATTAGGGTTGCTCCATGGCTGCTCCTGAACTGTCATGGTTGCTCCTAAGCCATCTAGATGACTCAGGTTTCTAGTAAAGTGGACTATAGGATGGGTGTGTTAGCAGTCATTTGAGACCAGGATTGGGAACCAGGAAGGTTTACTGTGACTTGTGAAAAGTTCTTGAAATTTGCCTCGGGCTGTGAGGAGTGGTAAAATCATTTAAAAAATCTTTTGAAGTTCTGGTTAACACCTTCTATGGTAAAGTGGAATGCTGAGTTACCAGAGGAAGTATTCCTGTTTGCAGAGGGGTGTGGTAGTTGGTATAAGTGTGCAAGAGGTAGAAGAAAGTGCACAGTTGTATAAGGTAGTGAGGGAGTTTGGTCAATAGCCTGTCAAGTCCTGGAGTAATATTTTAGAAAGGTACATCCAGCTGTCCACTGCAAGAGTTAGAGGCCATGTTTGTTTTTGTTCCCTGATGGCCCCAGTACCAAGCAGCACCGTTCTCAGCATATTCAATCCTCTCATTTACTTACTTGAAAGGCATAGTGACAGAGAAGACAGAGGTATTTTCATCTGTTGGTTCATTCACCAAATGGTTGCAGGTCTCCCACATGGGTGGTAGGGGCCAACGTATTTGGACCATCCTCTGCTGCTTTCTTAGGCAAGTTAGCAGGAAGCTGGGTCGGAAGTGGAGCAGCCAGGACTCAACTGGTGCCTCAGTGTGGGATACTGGTGTTGAAACCGTGGCTTAACCCTCTGTGCCAGGCCAGCCCCTCAGATACTTTTTGTGTGAATGATTGGTAATGTAAAATGGGAATAGTAAAAGAACAGTTATGATGGTTGATAACAGTGTTAGTTTTTTTTTTTTAAAAGGTTTATTTATTTTATTTGAAAGGCAGAGTTACAGAGAGACAGAGGCAGAGACAGAGAAATCTTGCATCTGTTGAATCACTCCCCAGATAGCCGCAACAGCTGGAGCTGGGCAGATCTGAAGCCAGGAGCCAGGAGCTTCTTCTGGATCTCCCATGCAGGTGCAGGGGCCCGTGGACTTGGGCTGCCCATCTTTTACTGCTTTCCCAGGCCATATCAGCCAGATCGGAAGTGGAGCAGCCGAGACTCAAACTGGCGCCCATATGGGATGCCGGCCCTGCAGGTGGCAGCTTTACCAGCTATGCCACAGTGCCAGCCCCGCAGTGTTAATTATTAAAAGCTACTTGATATTTTGCATTGGATTGAAAAGCCTTTTTTAAAAAAATTTATTTATTTGAAAGGCAGAGTTAGAGAGGTAGAGACAGAAGAAACGTCTTCCATCCTCTGGTTCACTCCCCAGATGACTGCAATGGCTGGAGCTGTGCTGATCCAAAGCCAGGAGCCAGGAGCTTCTTCCGGGTCTCATACGTGGGTGCAGGGGCCCAAGGACTTGGGCCATCTTCCGCTGCTACTCCAAGCCATAGCAGAGAGCTGGATTGGAAGAGGAGCAGCTGGGACTAGAACCAGCACCGATATGGGATGCTGGCGCTTCAGGCCAGGGCGTTAACCTGCTGTGCCACAGCACCAGCCCCGAAAAGCCAGTTTTCAGTCTTTGTAATCTTTGATATTCCTTCAAGAGATTGTTTTCTAAAGACTATCTTTGAGTGTCTTCTAGTTTTGTGTTTTTTTTTTTTTTTAAAGATTTTATTTATTCATTTGAGAAGCAGAGCTACTGACAGAGAGAGGGAGAGACAGAAAGAGAGAGGTCTTCCATCCATTGGTTCACTCAACAAATGGCCTCAGTGGCTGGAGCTGGACCTGTCTGAAGCCAGGGACCAAGAGCCTCCTCTTGGTCTCCCATGTGGGTTCAGGGGCCCAGGTACTTGGGCCATCTTCCACTGCTTTACCAGGCCATAGCAGAAAGCTGGATTGGAAGAAGAGCAGCCAGGACATGAATATAGGATGCTGGTATAACAGGTGGAGGAGGCTTAGTCTACTAGACCACAGTGCTGGTCCCTCCTAGTGTTTGAGGCTTAATATATCTTAAGGTTTTTTTTTTTTTTTTTTTGTCTTTAAGATTTATTTATTTTATTTGAAAGAGTTATACACAGAGAGAAGATGAGGGAGAGAGAGGGAGACAGGGGGAGAGAGAAAGAGAGAGAGAGGTCTTCCATCTGCTGGTTCACTCCCTAATTGGCTGCAATGGCCAGAGCTACGCTGATCCAAAGCCAGGGGCCAGGAGCCTCTTCCAGGTCTCCCACGTGGGTACAGGGGCCCAAAGACTTGAGCCATCTTCTGCTACTTTCCTAGGCCATAGCAGAGAGCTGGATTAGAATTGGAGCAGCCGGGACATGAACTGGCGCCCATATGGGATGCCAGCACTGCAGGCAGCAGCTTTACCCACTACTTTTTGAGAGCCCATTTTACTGCACTTAGAGGTAGTATGGAGCAGTGGGAAGCTCTGGATTGGCACACTGACTACACTGACTTTGGTTCTAATTCCACCTAACTTCTCTGGGTTCTGTTTTCTCATCTATACAATTGGGCCTATACTTGACCTCAAGTAGTTCCTCTAGCCCAATTTTGAGAATCTTTAATAATTTCTAATATTTTTT